AGTGCAGACGTAATTCCTTCCCTTTGTGCACTTCCACATTTTCATCTGCAGGAAACGCCATCACAACGATTTCTCACAAATTTTAAAAGAAAAAAAAAACCGTGACCTGAGCAGCTGTGGAGGTTTATGTTTTAAATCCTAAAGTTGAGATATTTCTACCACCTGTAGCAGCAAACGGAGCCCAGAAATAAATCTCAGAGATCACACTGCTGTGTGAAATGTGATTTTTTTTCTATTCCTACTTCGGTCAGGAAATGGCCCAATTTACACAAAGCATGAAGATGGAGTTATGATAATTTCCCTCAGAGTTCCTGCAGAGTTTTCCAGGAGAAAAAAAACGACATGACTTCTGCCGGAGGGAAACCGGAAAACCAGATCAACCGAATCATCCAGGGATTTCCTGAACGCCGCAGATGGACGATAACAGACCAGCAGGCGACGGATCCGCCATTTTTTTTCTTCAACACACTTTGCAACAGCAGCTTTTAGCTTGCACCGGAACCTGTCACCACGGCAACCTCAGGTTTCTGTGGCAACAGCGTGTGTTCGGAGGGGGGTATACCAAAAAATCAGCGAAGTCTGAGTCACTTCCTGTCTCGCGCGATCCTTCCTCTTTTGAACCTGCCGATATTCTTTCAACTGCATCTGCTGACTGAGCCGCCGGCACGCAGACACAGAACCGACCGCGCCTACTTCGTCACTCACTGCTGGCCCTGTTTGACATCAGGCTGGTGTTAAATACATGAAAAATAACCCCCAATTTAAACGCAACATTTTAAGACATCTGCTGAACCGTAACATTAAATTCTCAGAGAGAAATGTGAGAAAATATTCAGGAAACTAAGAAGAAATTGGGGACAATTTCAGGCTGAATATGGGTCAAATACACTGCAAAAACTAAATCTTACCAACTATTTTTAGTCTAATTTTAGTGCAAATATCTTAAGCAAGATACAGAAGCTTGTTTTAAGTCAATAATTCCTTAATATTGATGAAAAAGTTCTAGTTCTATTTGCAGTTTTAATTTAAAATATGTAAAAATATGTTGTTATAAGGGAAATAATCTGCCAGTTTAACTAAAAACCTTTTCAGCTATATTAAGGAATTATTGACTTAAAACAAGCTTCTGTATCTTGATGAAGAGTTACTGTACATTCATTTTGTCTTATTTCAAAAGCATCAAGATATTTGCACCACAAATCAGACTAAAAATACTCGGTGATTTTGTGTTTTGTTTTCCTGCAGTGATGAGTGGGACTTTTATTGATAAGTAATCTGATCATTTTTACTCTCCAATTTTAAAAACCTACAAAATAAAAGAGATAAAATTGAAAAGGTTGTTTCAATTTTGAGTCATCGAATAAAAAAGGTCCTGCAGTCGTTTCCAAACGTTAAACAGAAAAACTAACAGCTTTTATTTCCTTAAATCCGACGTTCAACGGCGCCACCAACGTCTGAAGTTTGAGTTGCTTTGCATCAGTTCTGTTTTCACCACTAAAGGACCAACACTGCAAAACTCAATCTTACCAAGCAATATAGTTTCCAGTGCAAATATCTTAGTACACTTGAACTAACACAAAACTAACATAAAAATAACTTTTCATCAAGATTTAATTCCTCAATATTGACTTTAACCAGAAGCATCGGCTCCATCTGACTACATTAAAGGTCACGATATTTATTCTGTTTTCATGGACTTGTGTCAATAAACTGAATTCAGAAAAACAACAGAGGGAGGATCAAACGTCCCTGAAAGAGACTTTTCATGCGACACAATAACAGGTTTTCTGAAATATTAAACAGAAATATGATTAAAACAGAACAGAGTTTGTTTAAGCTCCCGATTCAAATGCAGTTGAAGAGGGAAAACTTTAAAGGCTTTGTGATTTCCCACAGGAAGAATAAAAGCCATCGGCTCCGGTTTGAGTCCATTAATGCGACTCCAGCAGGTCAGAGCTGCGTTAAAACTTAGTCACTGAATGCACTGCAAAAACACAAAATCCTACCAAGTATTTTGGTTGGATAGACGGCCGAAATGGTTACTTTAAAACACTTAAGGGCTGAAAAATGTATTTTAAATCAAACTTTTTGTGCCTTTTTTAAATTTATCTGCTCAATAATAAATTAAAGTAAGATTTTAGACCAAAACATAAAAAGGTTTTGCAGAATTGCGTTTAGTTTCTAACCTTTGGGGCTAATTATTTTCTGAATGTTTTGCGTTTGAGTATAACTAGGTCGAAGTTTGTGGTTCTAGTTGCTCCAAATTAATGCAGAGGCATCATTAATGAATGAGAATCTGTTTTTGTATCATATTTACTTCAGATGTTTATTTTTCAGTTTGGGGGCCACACAAAGTCCTTGAGAGGGCCCCATGTGGCCCTGGGGTGCACTTTGGTCACCCCCATTATAAGTGAAATAATTTGCTCCTGGAGCCTGAACTTTTTCATCAATATTAAGAAATTAGTTAATTAAAAAAATGCTCCTGTATCTTGCTGAAAAGTTACTTTTCAACTAATTTTGTCTCATTTCAATGATACTAAGACTTTTTGCACTGGAAACTAAACAGGAATATTTGGTAATTTTGTGTTTGTACAGTGTGGCATAACTGAAAACTTTCAATTGAACCAATAAAACAGAATCAGACGACCTTTATATATTCCCTTCATCAAAAGCTAAACCCACCGTTTAAAAACAGCAACATTTTCAGGTATCACACTGCAAAACACAAATTTTAAGTATTTTTGTTCTAGTTTGTTCTGCAAGTATCTCAGTAGACTGGGAAGAAAACAAAAGTAACTTTTCAGCAACATATAAGAACTTGTTTTAAGTCAATTTATTAACACTGATGAAAAGGCAGTAGTTATATGTGAAATAATCTGTCAATCTCTCTGAAAAGTTAATTGTAAGTTAGTTTAGTCTTATTTCAAGTTAACTAAAATATTTGCACTAAAAATTAGACCAGAAATATTTGGTAAGATTTTGTGTTTTTGCAGTGCAAGTACAAACTTGGTGACGTAAATATTTGAGAACTTCCTGCCTGGGCAAAAAACTAAAGTATGACTCCACCTTAATCAGCCATTAACTCAGAGTTTTTATAGTTTACTACACAGCTTTGTCTCCCTTTGAACGCCACCAATTCCCTCGTTTAAGAAAAAAAATCTGGACAGATTAAATATTCTTCAGATCAGTTCAAAAGTTTTCATTTTTGCACAACTGCACAAGTTTCCACTTCACTGAGCTGCACAGAAGAAACCGTGAGACGCAGATTTTAGTCGTGACGCTCTCCATCGCTGCAGCTTCCTGCAGATTTCAAATCTGAAACCAACACTTGATTTTTCCAAATATAGATCATGCATTTCACACCAAACACCTGATCAGAGGCATTTATCTGAAGCAGAAATCCACAGAAGCTGCATGGATTCCAGTTCACATCAAGTCCAGCATGAAACTAAAAAATAATCTGAGATGGACTTAAAGTTTTATCTCAATATTTTGTGGTAATGTTGTGATAAAACAATAAGAACCATTTATTACTAGTGTTTAGGTTGTGACTGTGTCACAGCAATTACAGCCCCACAAACACAAATAGTGCTCATGAAAAACATTCCCATCTGCTTCTTTAAGACACCAATCGCATAAAGACGTTTAATTTATATCATTAAAATGGAAACTTAATGCATTTTGGCATATTTTCACATTTATTGATACTTTCAAACAGTGGAAAAAATAGCAAGATTATCAATTTGGACAGTTTGGAGGGTGTTTAAACATCATCAAATGGAATTAATCATGACAACAATAAGTCAAAATTCTTTTATACATCACTATAAATGATAAATGATACGATAAATGCCAAGTCTGAACTCTCAATCAGCACCAACTCACTGAGCAAAACCCAACGAACTCAATCAGCAACACAACCGTTTGGAACATGTCTTTAGTTCACCAATCGCATAAAGATCATTAAACTGCAAATCTTACATGCACTTAACCACATTTTCAAATCTATTGGTTATTAGTTGAACAAATAAATAAATAAATGAACAAATTTAAAATTGAACAATTAATTTGTTGTTTTTGTGACAACAATAAATCAAAATTCTTATCTTAAGAAATTTATCATGATAAATAATAATTAATACAATAAAAGCCCAACGATAATCAACACCAGCAACATTCCCATTTGCAATGCGTTTCATTAGGACACAAATGAATGTGATTTTACCACTAAACTGCGTTTCGTATCAGCTTTTAATCATATTTTATAATTTTGTGACAATAAATCAAAACTCTCATCAAAGTAACAAATTTATCACAACAAATGATGAACAATCCATGTTTGAAATCTCAATCAACTCCAACCAACAGAGGGAGACTGAAAACCCAAAACCAACAAACTCCACCAACCATAAAGTCCTCAGAAATGACCCACGGATCCAAAGATCCAAGGATCCAAGGACCCAAGGATCACGGATCCAAGGATCCAAGGACCCAGGGATCACAGACCCACGGATCCAAAGATCCAAGGATCCAAGGACCCAAGGATCACGGACCCACAGATCCAAGGATCCACGGACCTACGGATCCAAGGATCACGGACCCACGGATCCAAGGATCACAGACCCACGGATCCAAGGATCCAAGGATCACAGACCCACAGATCCAAGGATCCAAAGATCACGGACCCACGGATCCCAGGATCCAAAGATCACGGACCCACGGATCCCAGGATCCAAAGATCACGGACCCACAGATCCCAGGATCCAAAGATCACGGACCCACAGATCCACGGATCATGGACCCACGGATCCAAGAATCACGGACCCACAGATCAAGTCATTTTGTCATAGGAACTAAATTCACTGAGTGTTGGTGTTTTGGTGCAAACCGGAGTCGCCTCACGTGGCTTTACGCCTTCATGGCAGCAGAAGTCACAGGAAGGCTGGTGGAAAATGAATCACAGCAGTTCTGGTTCTGGTTCTGGACCAGCAGCCTCTCACCTTTTGGCTTCCTCCAGGTGACACAGATATTCGTAGGCCATGTTCTGCTGCCGCCGCTCGTCCATCTCCTCCGCCGTGAGCCGCTCCACGCCATCCAGGACGGCTGCACACAGAACACAGTGTGAGAAACGAGCAGGCAAGGGGTGGAGGTCCAAACTGAGGCCCGTGGGCCTTTTGTGGACCCCGGACTCATTTTGTGCGGCCCCCCAACTGCAATTCAAAAATGATATAAATTTGCCCCGCAGACGGAAACTTTGTAATCACATCATTTTCCTACAGAGGAAAATGTAAAGAACACAACCAAGTTTTAGCAAAATGTAAAATCAGGTTCATCCAGAGACTTTTACTGAAAAGTCGAATTTACTGCAGAAATTTTGTTTACGGAGACTTAATTCGTTTTTTTGTTGTTTTATTTATTTTTGAATATTTAAAATGTCTTCGAGCTCCGGTGTTGAATGTTTGTTGGGATTTAAAGTTTTTGAGAATGTTTTCCTCCATCATTATTATTCAGTTACCATTATGTTATTTATTATTATCATTTATCGCGATAACTTCTGGGACAATTTATCGTCCAGGAACATTAATGATGACAGGCCTGAACATGTGACCGCAACAGAAATAACTTCTGGAGGTTTAACTTGAACTTTGATTTTGACTGATTTGCTGCTTTGCTAAAACGTTGAGCTGAAACTAATGATTAGTAATCAATTATTCTAATGATTAATCAGACTTTTAAAAAATGCCACATTTTTCATTGAAACATTAAATCTTTTTTAAACTAAGAAAAACAAATTCATTTATTTGTAGCAAAGGAATAACCTGCAGTTTAAAAATACTTCCAACTATCAAACAATCTTGATTATTATAAATAATAATATTAATTTATGGTTAATCTAAAAGCAATTAACCAATTAATAACTGGATGGCAAAAGGTGCTTAACAGGAAATTATTATTTTTTTACTGAATTTAAACCAAGTGAAGCTAAAACTGCCTGTCCGGAGTTTTGGGTGAAACATATTTACAGAAAAATCATTTATTTTTATCTTAAATGCAAAATGTAGATATTTATTGTTCAGTTTTGGCTTAATTTCTGCTCAGTTTTTCTTTCAGCAAACAACCATTTTTGAGTCGGTTTGCTCCTGTTAACAATTTACCAATTACTAAATTAGTTGACAATTATTTCAATCATCAATTGATCTGATTAAACAAATATTTTTAAAAAGTTTCAGGTTCTTTGATGGAAGCAGTTTTGAATCCAGATAAAGAATTAATTTACATTTATGCCTCAACTGTCCTGTTTTTAAATATTAAAGTTCAAACAAAAGTTTGAAAAAGTTGCTGCTTGAAAAACATAAAAGTTTTTAACAAGAAATGCAACAGAAACAGCTGAGCTCTGCCAGTCAGCTGGCAGAAAGCAGGTTGTCCTTTTACAAGACAAAAGATTTTTTGCTCATCTTATTTATTTGGGTTTTTTATCTTTTTTTGATAATATTGTGGGAAAACGATGTTTTTATTCAAGGTCATCATCCGAGCCTTCTTTAAATCCAGAAAAACAATGCGTCAAAGTTAAATTTTAACCAAAAATATTCACAGTTTTTAGTTTTGTTGCATTCAGTGATCAAGAATAAAAGTCAATTTCTCACAATATCAGGAGAAATCAGAGAAATCGGCCCAGTTCCAGTCTGTGGAGTGAATCTCCAATTAGATCACGATTATTTAATTTAAGCAACGATAAAACTCCAGAGTGGGAATAAAACGTCTCCGTCCAGGAAGGAGGTTCCTCCAAACGTCTTGCACAAGAAACCGACCTCATCCGTTAGTCATGTACCAGTCAACACACGTCAGGGCTCCTCATGTCAGCATGCACTGCAAAAACACAAAACCTTACCAGGAACTTTACTGCTGACATTTCAGAACATTTAAATAAGACAAAACTAACGTACAGGGAACTTTTCAGATAGAAATAAGAATGTTTTAAGGCAGAAATTCCTTTAAATTGGTGAAAAAGTTTTAGTTCCACTGGAGGATTATTTCATTATAAAAATACATTTTAACCCACGTTACAAATAAAATAATCTGACAGGAACTAGAACTTTTTACATCAATGTTAAGGAATCATTTACTTAAAACAAGCTTTTATTTCTTACTGGAAAGTTACTCATTTGTTTTGTCTTATTTAAAGTGATCTAAGACATTTGACTAAAACTACTTGGTAAGATTTAGTTTTTTCAGTGCAACACTGACTCCAGAAGCAGCTAACAGTTAATTTGTACTTTCAGCAGATTTAATCAAATTCAGTTACTTTGGTAAAAAGCTACATTCAATTTCTCAATTTAAGAGACTTAAATTGCAATAAAACCTCCAATTCAACCAATAAAACAGCATCAGACGACCATGCCATATTCCTAACTAAATGTTTAAATTTAGCTACATTTTCAGTTATCACACTGTAAAAACTAAATTGTACTAAGTATTAGTACACTTATTTAAAGTGTACTAAAATGTTTCTAATGCTAACATCTTAGTACACTTTAAATAAAACCAAACTAACGTACAAGTAACTTATAGAAGTTTGTTTTAAGTCAGTAATTCATTAATATTGATACAAAATGTTCTTGTTCCATTGGCAGATTTAATTTTTCAGCAACATTAAGGAATTTGTTACTTAAAACAAACTCCTTTAAGTTACTTTGAGTTAGTTTTGAACACATTTACACTAAAAACTAGACAAACATTCCTGGTAAAGTTGTGTTTTTACAGTGTGCCAGTGAGAATGCAGCTTTTAAATCACAAATTAAAGTGAAGGGAATATTTTAGGGCTCAAAGCCAAAAATATTTCAACACAAATGTATACTGGGAAGAAAGAGAGATGAGTAACACTTTATTGCGTGAGAGCGACAAAAAAAGAGCTAAAATAACTTCAAAATTTCTCCAAAAGCGAAATAAAGGTTGACTTTCAACAAGTGTTATAAAGTTGTAATCAATAAATCTGGGAATATCGATGTTTTATTGGTGAAACCAAAAGAAATGAGGATCAGTTCATTCATTTTCTCCAAACTTTGCCACCTGGTGACCCAGCCGCCGACCTGTGGGCGGTGGTTACTGGTTCCCTGAGAATCTGGGACACTTTGATCCTGATTCATGTCAGTATTAAATTAATCTATAAAAATTAAAAACTTGTAAAGGAAAAGTTGTGCAGAGTGTGAAAACAGGCCTCCTCCCTCCGCACTACTGCGGAGAAAACGCGGAAGTCGTAATAAAGCTGTGAACACGCTGTCAGAAGTAAAAGCCAAACCTGGAGGGCTGGAGCCACTTTTATGGAATCTGTTAAGAGTTTGCATGAGGAGGAAACGAGCTGGAGCGCCAAGCGGCTCCGCTCTGCGCCAGCAGAGTCTGAAAACTGCGCAGATTCATTAGAAACGAAGCGTAAAGAGTCAGAAACTTACAGCCATATCTCGGCCGCTGCCCGTCTACGTCGTCTGAAGTTGACATCCTCCCGTTCAGAGAAACTCTCCGCGCTCCACGGCTCGCCTCACAAGAAGATTTCAAACTTTGCGCACGGATTGATCCGCTCTTTCCAGACTCTGCACTGCGCCAAATTCCGACAGAAAGCCGCTCAGGACCCTTCGGCCCTCTTGTTTCCTCTTCTGCACAGTTTGAACGGAGACTCTCTTTTTTCTGCTTCTTCTAACCTCACTGATGTCACTGCAGCAGGGTGTGTTCTTAATCCTGAAGTATGCGTTTCAGGAAACACGGCGGCGTGCAGCGACTGAAGAAGCAGCGCCCCCTGCTGCTCATTGCGCGAACTGCACCACAAAACTTCCTAAAGTTACATTTTACAAACATAAAATATTTATTTTATTTTTAATGAAAGACCAACAACAGGACATAAATGTGAAATAACTCTGCTTTTAGTAAAAATAAGTCTTAAATAATTTAAATCCAGTAATATAATAATACGTTACTGGATCTGTAACTTACAGTTTTCCTAATGCAATTATTTATATTTACACTTTATGTGTATTTGCAAATGTAAATATACAAATTCTTTTTATTTAAATATACAAGAAATATTAAATAAATATTTCAATATTCTTTGTATATTTAAGTAAATATGAATTCATTTTTATATACTAAATAAATATAAAATATTAGGTAAATAGGTTTAAATCTATAGTGGGATTTTCTCTCATTCAGGGTAAAATATTTTACAGATTTATGATATCAATGTGTCACTCCTCATTATATAAAGATTACAATGCAACAAAAATATATAGAGAGTTAAAATCAGAAATTTACATATGCCAAATAAAAGACACATATTTTCTTTTTCTCAGTAACTGAAGATAAATCAAACCAAATTTATTTTATCTTAGCTCAGTAAGAATTGCAAGGAATAAAATATCATTTTTGAGATTATAACTTCATTCATGAGTGAAGGGGAGTTTATTAAACCTCACAGATAGGTTTGCACTCTTGGCACAATATTTGCTACGGCTGTGAGCCCTTAGCAGCAGCTACAGTGGCAATATTTTGCTGTGTAGTCTAACATTTGTAGAAAAGAAATCTGTAAATCAGTGTTGATGCAAAATATAAACACGTCTTGCACAGTTGCCGCATTTTAAAAACTTAAGTACTTCAGTTGTGCAAATGTCTAGTTGGACTTAGCTCCGCCTTCGAGGCACAGCTCCTCCCCCACTCAGCTCCTTCAGACTAGCCAGCAGCAATTAGCAAACACGTGGTGGAGCTGCTGAGCTCAGAGCAACGCTGGTAAAAATGTTGTTAAAGGACGACTTCTGAAGGCGGAGCTTCAAAAAGAGCAAGAGCTTCTTCAAGAGACAGAGACTCAATTTCAAGATGTTAAATTACGAAGCCAATTTCTCCTAAGTTATATTTGGTTATATTTGACATATCACATTTTTATATCAACTGAAGGTACCATAGTTACTTGATTGCTAAATGGCAGTATGTGCCTGGAAAACACATAACACGGCTCCTTTAATAAATAATAATAATTATTATAATAACAAATACAAGGACTGAGGGGTCAAACAAAAATCATCCAGAGGGCCTCAAATGGCCCCCAGACCACACTTTGGACATCCCTGATTTGAATCCACCCCACTTTCACCTCAAAAACACAAACTAGTTTCTAGTGCAAATATCTTGAAATAAGACAAAACTAACTAAAAGCTCCTGTTTCAGCAGGAAACAGGAGCTTGTTTTAAGTTAATAATTCCTTAATTTTGATTAAAAGGTTTTAGTTCAACTGGCAGATTATTTCATTTGAAGCAAAACATTTTTCCCATCTTAAAAGTGAAATTATCTGCTAGTGGAACTAGAACTTTTCTGTGAATTTAAAGAATTATTAACTTAAACAAGCTCCTATCTTGCTGAAAAGTTACTTATTTTTGTTTTATTTCGAGTGTAATAAGATTTTTTCACTAGAAGCTGAACCAAAGCACTTTGGGTAACACTTTATTTGAAGGGGGTTGAATAAGACTGACATAACTCCTGTCATAAACATGAATAAGCCTTCATGAATATTTATGACTGTTGTCATAAAGCGTCATTCGGTAAATTATGACACTTAATATGAAGTTGACATTATTCAAAATGTCTTTGTTATGACAACTTGACATTAACCAGGAAATCATTACTGATATAAATTTGTTATAAAAGTATTACTGATTGCACTTTAAAAATTAGGTAACTTTATGTTATTAAAGGTAAAGTTTAAACAGTAATGATTTATTGGTTAATGTCAAGTTGTCATAAAGACATTTTGAATAATGTCAACTTTGTATTAAAAGTGTCAATTTACCGAATGACACTTTATGACAACAGTCATAAATATTCATGAAGGCTTATTCATGTTCATTACAGGTGTTTATGACAGTGTCATGTCAGTCTTATTCACCCCCCCTTCAAATAAAGTGTTACCGCACTTTGTATTGCCTTGTTGCTGAAAATGTGCTTTATAACATAAAATTCCCTTCACCTTTACCAAAGTTACTTGGCAGTATTTTGTGTTTTTGCAGTGTTGGAGTCTGTCTTTCCTTTTGGCCTCTCCCAGGCGGAGCTTCACCGTTCTGCATAAAACAAGAGAGAGAGGTTCTGCCGCTGAAGGTCCCTCCGTTCCTCCATCTGATCTGCAGCCTTCCTCCTCCTCCTCCTCCTCCAGCACCATGGAGAGCTCCGGGTTGCTCCAGGCTCTGCTGCTCCTCAGCCTGCTGTCGGCCCTGTGTCACGGCCAGGCGCCACCGGACGTCTCAGACGACTTCCAGGATGAGAAACTGGACCCAGCTGCAGACCCAGACCTGGTCAGTGACTCCAAAAACACCAAATATTAAATAATAAAAGCATAGTTCCTCAGGCAGATTATCTCATTTGGAACAAGATTTTTTTGGATGCTATAAGTGAAATAATTTGCCACTTTGTAAAGATATTGTTTACTTAAAATAAACTCCTATATCTTCCTGAAAAGTAACTTGAGTTAGTTTTGTTTTATTTATTATTTACTGAGATATTTGCATTAGAAACTAGACCAAAAATACTTGGTGAGATTTTGTGGTTTTGCAGTGGGTGTAATATTTCAGCTGTTTTTCAAACAAAACTGACCCTAATAATCAAAATGTAATGAGTGTGAAGTGCAAACGATCCTGAATTTTTATTTACTGTCATTTAATGTCATGCAGCTGAAATTCTCTCAGGTTGAATGATCTCATAATGATCTCAAAGCAACAAAATTGCATAAGAAAATAAATGTCATAAATATTTATTTACACTGCAAAAACACAAAATCTTACCAGATAATTTTGTCTAGTTTCTATTGCAAACATCTTAGTTCACTTGAAATAACACAAAACTAACTTACAAGTAAGTTTTCAGCAAGAACAGAAGCTTGATTTAAGTCGATAATTAAATTGAATTTAATATTGATGGAAAAGTAATAGATCATCCGGCAGATTATTTTCTTTATAATGTGGGAAAACGTCTTGATATAAGTTAAATAATCTGTCAGTTGAACTGGTATCTTAATAATTAATATTAACAAATTATTCACATAAAATGAGCTCATATTTCTTGCTGAAAAGTTAATTTTTAGTTAGTTTTGTGTTATATTTGCACTAGAAGCTAAACAAATAAATACTTGGTAAAATGTTCTGTTTTGCAGGCTGATACGTCTATAAGTGATTTGACATGAAATTTGTTCAATTATTATTAGTATTGTTCGTTTAGGATCTCATTTTCAGAGTTGTTGATTTCTCCGTGCTTCTTGTCTTAAAGTTGTTTTCTACAACAAAATTCCTCATTGTGGATAAATATCTTTTAATTCTTTTTAAATTTACAATTAAACGTTACCTTCCAAACTGATCTTGATCGATGGTTTTATCATTTTATTTGCTCTGGTTTCTCTGCATCAAGCTTCTTGTTTTTAATAAAAAAAACTGTCAGTATGAAAACAGCAACTGACTGCAAAATGACCAAAGGCGCATTTCAGATGACGAATATTTACTTCACAATCTGAATAAGATTTAATAAAGTGTAATTCTGTGGTGCATTAAGAAACGGATTAAACTAGTAACTCTTCAGTAATCAGTAAAGTGACCAGACATCATGTCATCACACTGTGGAGGAAGATCAAATCTGTGAATCTATTTAATTAATAAATAAAAACATGAAAAAACTTCCAAACAAAAACAAAAAATATATAAAAGAGATTAATAATAATGAATAATTTGACATAAGATTGAAGAGAAAACAAGAAAAACAGAAACAAAAGGGACATTTATCTGAAATATGTAATGTGTTACCATGAAATATAACTTATTCCTACAAAATACAAGAAATGCAGAGAAATGTATATGTATGTAGCAATAAAAACTTTTGCACAGTGATGAACGTCAGCCGATTTTTACCAAATGAGTTAATGAGGAAAAATGTTTCAACTTACAACAAATCCATAAAACCTTCTTTACATTTTTCTTGTCTTCTACAGGTAAGTAAATTTCTCTAAACCATATTTTTGTTGTTGTTGTTGTTTGTGTTGCTGTTTTTGCAGGTGGAAGCTCTTGAGGTTCTGCTGGGTCGGATCCACAGCCGGGTTTCTTCCACAGAGAAACGAGGGAGCATCCCGCTGGTGAGCGCCGCTTCCTGCATCAAACTGATGCAATGCAGCTGATTTTAAAGCTCCATTTATAACGTCTGCTGAGTCATTACCCTGTGCTGCAAACATCTTTCTGCTCATTGTTCATTAAAAGCCTGTTGAAAAGCATACCTGCTTCCTCTAATTAAAAGATAACAATCCTCTGTCATTACGGCTCAAATAAAGATTAAAGCCTGATTTCAGGTCATGAAAGCCTCTCAGAAAATCAATTAACGTTGGAACTACAGACTCAGTTTGAGCTAATGAGCGGGATCTAATTATTCAGATGAAAAATGTTCAGCTGACTTTCCCTCTTCTGACTCTGATTTATGCTTTCAATTTATTCAGAGGAAAAACATTTGAAAGTTTAATCAAAGGTTGAAATAATTGACAGAAAAGACAAAAGATGTCAGGTTTCATGAATGTTGCAGTATGTAACTTTTATAAAATATGTTTTTACATAACTGTTAAAATTCTCATTACTAGCTGTAGAAATATAGCTAGTAATGAGATTGGTTGTTATTGACAACCAATCAGGGCAAGGAGGCGGGTCTTAGTGCTGTCAATCATCTTGTGCTACAGCTGGTTCACCATAACATAGCCTGCTATGTTTGCTAAGGCTAGTTAGCAGCATAGCCACTGATGGCGTTTTCCTGCAATGGTAAATTAGCACATTGAGCAGCGTACAGTAGGATGATTGACAGCGCTAAGACCCGCCTCCCAGTGTTGATTGGTTGATTTTGACCAGGAGCAATGCATTTTTGAAGACTGCAATAGTAGTTCAGGAAGGAGACGGAGGAATTTTTCTTTTCTGACAGATTATCTGCCTCACAAGCAACTGAAATTTTCTAGAAGAAACAAGTAAATATCTGAGTTTGAAAAAAGTTTAAAATCCCCTTTTGAAAAAAGGCTCAGAAATTTTTTAGAACAAAAAACTGGAAATAAAAGTCGAATAACTGCTACAAACTGCTATCAGAAATTTTTAGTCTAATCTCTGAAATATTAGTCCCAAATTTGAAATATTAAATTTGACTTAAAAAGTCAAAATATTTGACTTGGGTTTTTTTTTCCGAACATTTCTGAGTTTTTTTCTAGCATTTTCTTTACTTTTTACTTTTCAAACTCAGAAAAGTTCTTAATCTAAAAATTTCAGAATTTATTGGTGGAAATACTCCTTTTATCCACCTACAATAGCCCTAATACACCAATAAATATGGGAAAAAATAATATATTTTTGTAACAGTTAGACGCTGCAGCTTTAAACATTTAGTTCTGACTGAATTTGGGAAGTGTTACCGCCTGTCTGTCCCCTCAGTGCGGGATGGGGGGCCGCTGTGCCGTGAAGTTCGGCCCTCGCATCGGGAAGCTCTGCGACTGCGGAAGAGGCGCCAACTGCAACTCCTACCTGCTGAAATGCATCTGAGGAGCTTTTGCTTCTCCTGACTTCCTGAAGGCCGAACATCCTTCAGCTTCCAGCCCGGTCGCCCAATTACCGTCCACCTCCACCGTCATTTGTCTTCCTCCGCGCTGCTGCTGCCTGAGGACTAGCATGTGTTTTCCACTCCTGACAGCGGCCTGGAGCATGCAGATGCTTCCTGTCCAATAAACCTATATGTCAACATGCACACCAGCAGCTTCCCTTTCTTTCATTTCTTTCAGCAAACTTCTTTTTCAGGTTTTGGTTCGGATTTAACTTCAGAAACTTGTGTTCGTAGAGATAATTTAAAGATCATTTAACCAAAAATTAAGTGTGTTTTTGTCATGAAATCAAGCTCGAAAGAACATCTGGAATATTTTTTTGCCTCATCAGTCGATAACTGAAACTATGGCAAGCAGTTTTGACATAAAATCAGTTTAGTCAGTTTGCATAATTATAGTACACTGAGTTTTGACTAGACACAACTACAATTTGACAATCCTGAATAATAATCTAAGATATCTGAATTTACAAAACAGACCTGAGTTTTTCATGCTTGACTGATTCCTGGCCTGGTTGGACACAGCTTTGCCTTCAAGGTCCAGCTACTCCACTTCTCAGCTCCTTCAGACTAGCCAGCAGCAATCAGCAAACATCTGGTGGAACTACTGAGGTCATTATGGGAGCTACTTCTCAGTGAAACACTGGTAAAAAAAAAAAAAAACCTAGTTAATAGAGAAATGCAATGACTTAATGAAGGCAGAGTGCCAGAAAGAGACAGAGATTCAATTTTAAGACACTAAGTTAGGAAGTAAAATTTATTTTTTCATCATTTTTGGTATTTATAGTATTTTTATAATGACTGAAGGTGACCTGATTAGACTATAAAATGGCATTATACGAATGGAAAACATATCACTGCCCCTTTAAAGCTACTTAAGCATAAAATATTAAGTTGTAGTTTAACCCTTGTCTTTACCCGCATCACTTGTATCATTTACCTCAGTCCTCAACTTGAATGTTCTCTCCTCTTTCCAATTTTATTCATTTACATTAGAAGGACTGGATGAGTGATTTTGTTAAAAACTTATTTCTGAATATTCTCTTTTCTCAAATTAAAGGTTAGATTTTTTCGTATTCCAGATTAAAACAGAAACTCTTCTGTCTTCATTGGAAGTTAATCAAAACCGCTAAGCTCATCAGAAACATGCAGTTTGTTACTTTGATGACTAATGAAATATTTTCTCACTTTACAGTAAAACTCATCTCACTCTGAAAACTTTTGTTTCAAAGCCAAATTAAAAGAGAAGTTCTGCAGCGACCCGTCCTCTGGGAGGATGTTTTATAAACGAAGTTTGAAGTGTTTTTGCGCGGATTTGTTTCGCTTTTTTAATGGGTTTGAATCTCCCAGAACAACTCGTGTTGCGTCGGTTTGGCACTTAGCTTTAAATATGTAAAATATGTTCGTGTCATGAGCGACTCGGAGCTTATGAAACAGATCCATCACGCTCGTCTCCGGGCGAAACGCAAAATGAGCTTCTGTGTTTTCATTATGAATGCTCTGAGTCCATTAATTTAAATGTAACTCAAGGCTTTTAAACTTTCATCTTCAGATCAAACCAGATGGATGTGCAAAAATAAAAATAAAAAATGTTTTCCTTTTTATTTAAGGCATCAACTACTCATTCCGACCAGAAGATGGCGCTGTTTCTTTAAGAAACGTTTGGTAAAGTTGGCTGGTCATCAGCAGGAATGTGGAGGAAAACAAGCAGCAGCTGAGTCAACCAATGAAGGCCCAGTTTAAAACACCAGTTCACCCATTAACTCTGACGTCAGAGGTCCAGATTGGATCCAGAATCCCAGCAGCGGTTGATTTTAGCTTTTATGCTGAAAAAGAAATAACATTAGACACAAACCTTAACGACTCTTTGGCCTAAAAATTTGAAACTTTGAAGCTCTTAATTATATCTTTTGGAAGAAACTGTTACACTTTATTTCTCATTTTGACAGAACAGAAATGATACATTTCACACACACACACACACACACACACACACACACACACACACACACAAAATTACCTGAAAATTACATCAGTTGGTATTTGGTCAAGAATTTAAAAAAAAAAATTTTCTTATACATTTCTTTTTCTCTGTCTATCTCTATATATTTAGAAACAGTTTTATAATAAAATCTGCATCATAAATAAAACAAAACTAACAAGTAACTTTTCAACAAAATGTAGGGGCTTGTTTAAATCAATAACTTCTTCATGTTGATGAAAACTGCTAGTTTTATTGGCAGATTATTTCACTTATAACATGCGGAAAATATCTTGTCATAAGTGAAACAATCTGCCAGTAGAAATACTTTTTATAATCAATATTAAGGAATTATTTACTTAAAATAAAAACAATCCTCCAGATCTTGCTAAAAAGTTACTTGTGAGTTTTTTGTAAATATACTAAGAGATTTGTACTAGAAAGTAGACAAAATACTTTGATTTTGTTTTGGCAGTCTATCTATCTATCTATCTATCTATCTATCTATCTATCTATCTATC